AATTCACAATATCAGTTAAGATAAATATTAAGAGCATTTTACGCATTTAAAGTTAATTGCTGTCAAATGTGTACTATCAAATACGTGTCCTTATTATTATCCATCCGTTTTAATTCTTCAAAAAGTGTGGTTATTTAGTCTAAGCCTGACGAACTGTCATTTGCACTTAGATATGGAGTCAAACTGAACGAGCAATAAGTGTCCAAATCGGTATTATTGCTTATGTTGTTAATGCGATACATAAACGTTTTAATTTAGTTTTAAAAATTATATAAAAAGAAAGAATCAAACACTTGGATGATTTAAAATTTTGTGAGTGTACTTGGCGCAGAAGATCGCAAAAAAGATCGCATTTGTTATCAGCTTCTATTGAACCTTTTGGATGTTAATCGAATTTTCCATTACAACAGAAATCGAGGTGCGTTAATCAATAGTCAGGAATTTGCGCATGTCCCCTTCAAACGCACGTTAATTTACGTTTACGCTGTTCAACATCATAGCGACTCTCTCGAAGCAACGGGGCTTTAAACGGAAAAGTTCATTAGGTACATACTATAGAAAACTATTGAATTTTACTGAGATTTACATCGTGGTATGCCCATATATAGTCATAAAGTGCCTATATATGGTCATGATGTGACGTCATCGTTACCATATTTATGCATGCCACATTTTTTTGTCAAATAAAATTTGATAATCTGTTGGACAGGGCTTTATTTTGACTTCTTGAACACAAACATTGAAAATATTATCTGAAGTTAGTATCGCTCCTTTTGAATTTTACGAAAACTTGAATTGCCGACAATGATTCACAGGATGATTGGTTAATTCTTGATGACGTAATATCCTCGTTATGAATAGTAAACACCATATTACTCATTGAGTAATGTGTGAGATTCCCTGGTGAAGGGGTAACTTGGTAATTGAGAATCCTAAGAACTTTCGTGATAATGTTCGTTATCATATAAATTGTTGATTTACATATTTCTGATCGCGTCTAATCATGGCACTTTTAGGCTACTGTTTGCAGTATGGAAGCCTACTCAATATTGCAGACTTGTTTGAGGTTCTCTACTTTTAATTTTTGTTTAGTAATACTATGTCAGTATTCAATATTCTACAATAGGTTAGGCCTAGGCCTATATATTCCTTAACCAGGTTGATTCAACCATCGGAATGCAACAATGTATACAACCACTTAATTCAAAGAAAGAGTGCAGAATTTATTTCCCGCATGGTTATGCATACACTTTCAACTTACTGCGAGCTTACATTTCTTAACGATTAAACAGTCTACAACAATAATAAGCAAGCCAGATGATACTATTCTAACATTATTCTTGTTTATATTTATTTTCATACGATGCATATTTGGTAGGCCTCTATGTAACCTGTTTGTTTAAGAAAGGTAGAGTAGGTATCCACCCTACAGGAGCGATGTTCTTTCGAAAGCTTTTGATATCTTCCCTGTCCTTCGTCTTTTCGTTGGTGTGGTAGTAATATAGTTTTGGTGGCGTGGTCGTAGGCCTACATCTATTGTTACCATGATAACTAGAGTTTTATATTACACTGTTTCAGCACTATAATAATGTTAGAGGGAAAAGATAAATGATGACAGACTATGTTTTTACCATGAAGTGCAAACATTAATAATCCTATTTCACATTACTATCATGAAAAATGGGCAATTTCCGTAATGTGTCTCTGGCCGGCCATTTGTTTACTGCAAGGCACTTTATCTACATTAACTATCTTCACCAACGTATTATAAGCGGGTACCAGGTTCGGATGCAAGTATACTGAGTAGGTAGCTGCTATATCGTGGAATAATCTCCAATTGTTAGTCTATTATTATAATCATTAGTATATCTCTTCTAGGATTTTAGCTGAGCCCTATGTTTCTAAAAATAACTCATGTTCTATTTCGAAGTTTAGACACGTACACACTGTAATTAAGTTGAATGTATTCGAAGTTATATTATATTGTATAATGTTAAATTTGAAATGTAACCTATTAGACATTGTGCAATTAAGGTTACACTTCTGAATCACTCGCTGAGTTAATGGACCTGTTATCGCGGTTGAAGTAACCGCTAGCTTGATGGGCAATCATAATTCCCTCTCCAGTTGGTCGTTTTGTTACGATGAGTTTGATCTAAAAAGTCGCAAACCCGTCAGCTTGTGTTTAAGTTGCTATCAATCAGTGATCGGAAATAGCGCGTTAAAGCTGTTCTCACCATGGTCTTACAGAAGCTTATAATAATGATAGCTGGGTGCGTCTAGTGGCTATTTACCGCAGTCACGTGCCGCGCAATAACACGTCGTCATCAGACAAGTTCGCAAGTTTCATCTTGACGCGGTGGGACGTAGAACGTAATGACATCACTAATAATGTCATCTGCACATGCAAGAACATTAAGTTCTCCTCGTCGCGTGGATTTTAGGATGCATTTTGGGCAAATCTACGTTGTGGAGAGAACGCATGAGTGAATCCATCCTAGCGTTGAACGCGTCGTCGCGCAAATCGAAAGTTCCTTACCTATGGCATTGAACGTGTATGCAGATGATGATAGTAGACTGAAATAATAATTAGAATAAAACTAAATAGCTTTCGGCAAAGCTTATAATACCTGTGAAGACGAAACGTTGCATAACCGGTAATTCAGTCATTCTCAGGCTAACATATCTCTTGGCTAGTTACTTTTTGTAGCGAATCAATGGGAAAATAAAGAGAAATAATTTGTTCACCTTGGTTAATACTGCGCTGATGGCCGGGAGATTGAGAATTCTGGCAGTTCAGTTCCCCAGCAAAAATTATACCTCATGGGCATGAATAAGTAACCAGAAGCATACCTTCGGCTATTGAACGATACAATAATTTGTAAAGAAAGAGTCAGTGCAGAGTTCACAAATAATTAGGCCTAATACTAGCAGAATGTTTGCAAAATAGGCCTAATGGTAGCAAAAAATATCCACCATTGGATATTAACGTTCAATACGGGGTTGCGAATATGAATTTTTTGGGTTGCATGAATGTAGAGGTTATTAAGTCAGAGTGAGGCCAAATAGCTTAGTTATGAAACATGACTTGTTCGTGTCAGCAAGCGAGCGAGTAAGGAAAAATTATGAAGAAAAACAAGATGTGCAATAAGGAATTCTTAGAAGATGATTACAGGGATTCACAAGGGTGTTACGGGGAAAGCGGAATAAAGTGAATGATAATATCCTGTTTAACTTAGAGCAAGTACAAAGCTATCAGAAGAGTTATTTTGTAGCTCAATAGGGGATCACATATTCTGCTACTGACATTAAATATATTTACACAGACAATGGTACAAGCTGTGTCTACACAAGTTCTATAAATTTAACACACCGTACACTGTTCTCCAGGCTGTGCAGACACAGCCTGCATGATTGTTTGTGTAATTGTATCTACATGACAGTAGCAGAATCGGGTGTATATATACTGAAGTCTTGTCTCCATCACATTGCTACACTGTCGCTACAATGTTTTCATTGCAATCGTTACATTACGTAGCTGCCCCTGGTAGAGCATACTGCATAATTGTATGCGATTCACTCTGGTGGTACGGTTCAAATTTGGACCCCAATTGATACTGCATATGTGGTTACACAACATGAATGACCCATGTTATACAACGGAATACACCATTCGAATATTAGGGATTGTTACTGCCTAATGAACTTGTCCCGAATGTCAATCAAATATAACAATTGGCCTATCAAAATGCGATATTATTCTATTGCCAGGAATAAGCCTATATGTATGTCCCGCAAACACAAGCGTTTACGTACGTTTACCCAATATAAAGTTCTACACCTTAGAAATAATATCCAAGGGACAGGGCTTGGCGGAAACGTTCATTCCCACCAGTGATGCACTGCGGTTGCGCGGGTTCGGTTTCTATAGTTACGAAAATAGGATCAATGTGTTACTTAAATTACTTTAATTACAATTGATCTAACTGAAAGTCAAGTTCGCATGCCCGTGTTATGACATTGACATTATATGAATCACTGCTCTTTACGGTCAATACCCCGAACTGAGCCATCTAATCTATTTGTTAACGCCAGAATCAATATTCAATAATTCCACCAACATTACGTCTAATGGTCTGAACCATCGTCTTCAAATACGATTAAAATTTGTTAATATACTGCATGTTATTGTTTGACTGATATCACTAAGTATCCACATCATATACACTGTGTGGCAGCGTTGTTCTGCATAGGCATAGCCTTATGTAACTGCCAATATTATCTGATAAATCGCCAAATGGTTTCGATTTCGACCTACCGTCATTTGTCTATATTCTTTTTAAGCGCATAATAGGTAATTAGGCCTAGTGTAATCTTACAAAGACTCTCGTTCTAAGCTTCCTGTACTGCACCATAACAAAACTGACCCTCATTTAAAACATAACCACAACAATCACCAATTGTAACTGTTGTGAGTCTTTCTGATATGGACGGCAGACCATGATATACTACAATACACTGCGCGTGGGGCTGTGCATTAATGTCATATCAGTGGACTAATAAAGATTAATTGCACGTATAGCCGCGTAAATTAGGGGAATAAATTTAACCATTCACAGTACAGCACGTGTTAGTCCACATTGACTGCATTATGGCCAAATATCACAAACTGATACTTCCGCGTGCATTGATGACATCACGTCAAATATCGCGTACACCCATTTCACGTAACCCATTTTTTGCGTAGGCATACTGCTTTGTTGGTGACGTATACACGTACCTAGATATCTCTGTGTGTACGGTTAGGCATTTGTATGCATTCCTCTACATACAAACATCTTTGAATACGCAATTAAGACTAATATATTTCTTGATATGATACATCTGTGAATAAAAATAACTGTTGATGAGAAGAATTACGAAGTTTTAATCACTAGCACAAACCCCCTCACCAACATGAACATGGCTGTCAATCTAGTCTTTTATCATTATTTTTGTAGGCAACGGAAATTAAAGGGCAGATGATCTTTATATTTGAAATGGACTGTGTGCTGTTCCTTGGATCACCTTGTGTAGCAAAGCTTGAGGAACTTACCGGGCGTGGCCTGTATTTGGCCGATATACCGATACACGATGCTACCCGTGACGTCATACTTATGGGAGAGCAGACCAAGGCTCAAGATGGCCTCAAAAGACGTATGGACAAGCTAAAAGACAAATTAGAACAGACTAGTAAAGCGTTAGATGTAGAGAGAAAGAAGAACGTTGATTTACTTGAATCAATTTTTCCCGCCGATGTTGCCAAAAAACTTTGGCGCGATGAGCCCGTGGAGTCTAGGACCATCGAATCTGTATCAATGCTGTTCTCCGACTTAGTTGGCTTCACAGCGATCTGTTCCACTGCTACGCCTATGATGGTTGTAAATATGCTTAACACTCTTTACACCGAATTTGATACGTTCTGCGAATTTCTCGATGTCTATAAAGTGAGTATATTTCTTTATCTCCGTATCCTTAATATCGTTTTTCTTTTATTACATGTTTTTTCCCATAGACCTTTTTTAATAAACCCAGAAAAACCTAAGTCTAATCTTGATTATATGCTACTCGAGTATCCCATTGTGTATCTGAGTGTACGCCTCAAAACGGTCGTCATGGTTTCGCAAGAGCAAACCGTTTACCTGGTTCGTCTAATTTTTTTTAATTGCAATGCGCATTATATATTTTTTTATGATAAAAAAAACTCTTGTGACTCAACATTAAATTATGTTTAATACGCCCCATTGCGTAGTGTCTTTTTGATCGGCTCTTTGTCACCCACAACTCAGACCTGCGTTGTGTACTTCTTGACGTTTTATTAAATGAGTCACTTTGCGTTAGTTGTTGATGGCCTTTTCGTCATAGAACCACGTTTTTGGAATCTCTAAACATGTAATATTTTATTTATTTATTTGATGAACCTATGTTCATTTTGTGTTTTGGCCACACGCACCAGAAATTAGTCAAAACTACCACATCGCGTACCGAAAGGAATTGACCAATTTAATGTTGTTATTACTAAATAATGTCTTAGTCTGAACTGCGCCTTCGAGGTCAAATCGACATACACCACATACACACAACATATTAAGCCCTGTCCAGACTATCAAATTTTATTTGACAAAAACATGTGACATGCCTAAATATGGTCATGATGACATCACATCATGACCATATATAGCCACATCATGACTTTATATGGGCATACAACAGTTTTTTGTCAAAGAAAATTTGATAGTGTAGACAAAGCTTTAGTTTATGTCGATTAACCTTAGATACGGGCATGCGCAGTTCAGACTACGAAATGGCTTATTAAATATTTATGAGGTAAAGTATAGTAAAAACAGATATCTAAGTGCAGTAAACCTAATCGCTATATAATAGGCCTATTAAGTTTCGTGTTTGCAAATAAAGTAATTTAAATTTCAAAAGTAAACAACTAAATTATAAAAAAGTCATGTCATTAAAGTAATGGAAGTGTTACTGTTTGCCTGTTAAAACATATTCGAGTAAGCATCCTTTAAATAATTCACATGCTAAAATAAATTTGACAGTGAACTGCAAACAAGGAGCTATGGATGCGATTTTTAATAGGAAAGCAATCTTTAATAGCAGTTTACATATTAAATGCCGAATTTGGTTATCAATTATTCGTAACTAAATAGAAAATGTATTTTCAGAAATAATTATTTATTGATCCGGCCAACTGGTACAAAATGAGTTTGTAGTGCTACGTGATACGAATAATAACGCTGCATATGAGTACAACTCCTAGTGATTTTCCACCTTTTTCGGTTACGGACTAGGGGTGAAGGAAGGGCCCTCGAATTTGTGCCTCCCGAGTCCGTTGAAAATGTTATGGGAAATAGCTCTCTCTGGCGTCACTAGAAGGTATACAGTTCTCTAACACAGTTCTGGTTTCTATAATGTATATGTACGACAAAATATTTTTTTTTTCAAACATAATTAACTATGCATATTCGCATATTGCTCTTCGTCTTCCAGATGTTTCTAATATACAAATATGACGCTTCCTATAGTATTAGTTTATAATAAAATCTTATGTCTTTTGAATGATGCTTCAAGCAGCAATTTTTGTCTATCATTGATTTATTGTTTTCACAATAGGCTAATCTATGGAGAGTAGAAACGCTTTGTAACGCTAGATTACTTTCTCCCCATTATGGGTCACGTGATTTTAGATATGTATCGTGTGGTTAAAATTATTTACTCAATAAATATAACATCGTCTGCGTTTGTAATTTTCTTCGTATTGATGAAGTCAGGAATCCCGAAGAATAGAATGTGGTTTATACCTAGCAGTAAATTATTTATTGGTAATCGCGTTGCGTTGTATTGTAATATAACTTTCCGGAGTCTCAATCAAGCTTAACAACTGACCAATCATAACAGCGCAAGAATTAAGCGCGTCTTACAAACACTGTCGTTTTGTGGGACCTAAACAACAACATCCAAAGGGCGGGGCTCTGCGAAAAGGTCCATTTACCAAACAATGTTTTTTTTTTTTTTTTTTTTTTTTTTTTTTGTAATGTCATGGTAACGTAGCTGAAAAAAATGTTGTGTCTTGATGTTTTTCTACATTCAATGCACCTTAATTTCAAATTTACCTTCCGTTCTTGTGGTTTGAAATTTTAATTCTGGGAAATACACGATAACGTTCATTTGCGATAACAATCATTGTTCTTTAATATTAATTGCTATAGAAAGCAACTTTCGATTAATTGACGTGACTAAAAGGATTGTTGATTAAAGATAATAAATGTCATATGACAGTTATTATTTGGGTAGCATGTAGGGAAAGAAGTTACGACGTTGAAATGCACCGCTTCACTTGGCTTTTTTACAAGGCCTATACACGTATGCTAATATTATTCACAATGTTAATTAATTAAAACCGCATTTTCAATCTTAATCATGACGTAAGACTAAAAGGATTGTTGATTAAAGATAATAAATTTCATATGACAGTTATTGTTTGGGTAGCATGTAGGGAAAGGAGTTACGACGTTGAAATGCTCCGCTTCACTTGGCTTTGTACAATGATTGATCAAGGCCTATACACGTATGCTAATATTATTCACAATATTAATTAATTAAAACCGCATTTTCAATCTTAATCATGGTGTAATTCCGTCGATACTGATGATAACATAGTGTAGTTGAATGAATATATGTTAATAGCAGCTTTAATGTCTATGTTAAAATATTTCTTTTATTTTTTGTTATTAGTAGGCCTGCTGCATAGGTCTTTAGAAATTATTATTCGTTTTGAGGTAATTTTCTTATAATATAAATAGAAAAAACACGACTTTATCGATATGTTAAATCTATTACGTAATTTATCTTGTGTAAACTATCTGTACATTCTAGTATCTTGTATATGAAAATAATGATCGTATGATCTTTTTTTATGCTTATTTTAAAATTTGTGCAAAATTAATGGAAATAATATGAAGTTGAAACTTCCCCTGTTTATTGTTGTAATGGTTTCGCAAACCGACATCTCTCCGTAAATTTGGTAAGGTTTTGGGACATGCGCTTATTTCTGGCCCTGCCCACCTACTGAATAGCATGCTCTGATTGGTTTACTGTAGGGTTGATTGACATCCTGGAACTGTTCAAAGAAAGCAATTCGAAATATTGAATTTCATTCTCCAATATCTTTAATAAATAATTATATTATTGACCCAAACGAATTTAATTTACTTTCTTTGATTGCTTTATTGATTCATATTTATCATGTGGTTGAATTCCGATTTCTATTTTTTACGGTTCTCCAAAATTGGTCGATGTAATTGACAATTTCTGAAAATATTTAGGTTATAATTAGAAAATGCATTCATGGAACTATTTTGAATTTGATAGTTGCTGACGATCAATTTAGTATCGTGTAAATCATTACGATGAAACAAGAAAGAAAAAAACATGATCTCCAAAATAATGTATGAAATCCACGAAAAAAGAATATACTGTATAGATATATAGGTATATATATATATATATATATATGTATATATATATATATATATATATATATATATATAT